CGTTAAATTCCATGAAAACTGAGAAAAATATTTTGATGGAATTTCAATGATCTTCTACTTTATAAAGAAATTGCCCTACTTCTTGTTTAATGACTTGGTATTTTTGGACTGAGAGCTACGTATTGAGACAGTTTCATTATCATTCGAAATATGTTTTTCAGTTCAAGTTTGTCTTAGCGGCCTCCGAATCTTCTAAATAAGCATAAAGGTTTTTATGATATTTGGCATACACACTTTTGTGTTACCTAAAATAACACTCTAAATATATAAGTATATCATAGAGGATAGATCTCATTCAAGATAAAAAAGAAACGTGCTCCAGCATTTAATAAAGTCAGGAGAGAAAGGCAAAACGCTAAAAAAAGAGGAAGGAATCTAATAAATACTGCTAGCATCTTTACAGTAGTAAACATATAGCCCACTTATGGTAGAATAAAGTGAATGAATCAAATAAATCAAGATTATCCTAATTGATTATTAGATTGTAATTACTTGATTCAATTGTCGATAAGTTTATCTGATAAGACAAGGTGAATAGTTAGTTCTTATAGCCCCTTCCTACTCTTCTTAATCACTATCTCTTTCTTCCCTCCATATAAAAATTGAGTTAGTCCAATTAGGATATAAGTTTGATTGATTCTGTAGAATGTTATATATAATTAAGAGTAGAAGAAAATCCAAAACACTAACTGTGCTTATGGAAAAGAAAGCTATGACAAAATTCTTATCGTTTATTTAGAAGTAATAATTAGTAACAGAAAGAAAGAAAATGCGAATGAAAAAAATGTCGAATCCAATCTTTGATCAGAACAAAACAAAATGATACACTCAATAGTATCAGGACTTTAGGCTTTATCTGTATAGAACATATTTACATAAGTTAATATTTGGGTATTTTTAATTGTTAAATTGCTAACAACTAAGGGTTGATTTATTATATTCATTGCTTTTTACTGAATTGGGTGTTGGGATGTTTAGGTTTCGCACCGAGAAAAATTCGGATCTCTTTGTTGGTGAACAGCATTCATTACTAATATACAATATCATAAATTCTATTTTATAATGTAACTTTTTCGAAGGGTTCATCAAATCTCCCTCCTAAAATTCAACAGCTTATACTTTTCAAGTCAATTAGTGTTTCACATTATGATATACTTGTTGTACAGTTGGTCACCCTTTGAAAATATTCTATTCAACTCCACTAAGCACTTAAAGATACGTTTTTAACGCTTATGAGTATTCGTGAAAATTTGAATTAACAGTCTGATTTCAGATGCAAAATTACTTCAGATAATCTCAGTGTTTGGAATTTACATACTTTTAAGGCTTAAGATGGAAGTCTACCACGACCTTCTCCAGGAAAATAATTACGGTCAAAACTATCAAAAATAAATATAGTCCAAGTCCACCCAAATCTCTTCGCCGATCATGCTTAAATGTTGGTTTTGTGTACGGTAAAAATGTGAATCATTTAATCTGAATTAGGTTTAAAATGTGATATCTGAAGAAGTGTATATCCGCATATTATTTTCACTGGTCAAAGCCAAGGGCTTTGACCAGTGTCATGTAAATTTTGCTTACTAATTATTCACAAGTTTTAAAGATAATATAACCTATGACCAATATTGATTATTAAAAACATTGAAAACATTCACAATTTTATTTTCATTTTTAACGTTACCTAATTTATTGATCAAATAATCTCATTGTATAATATCACTTATTTGTCACTTAATGTTTAAGGGGCTTTCAAAAATAATTTGGATATTCTAGACAAAATCGTTGTTTCAAAACGATATCATGAATAGATAAATTCTGATTAATACAGTTTTAACAAGTTATTGAAAGTTATAACCATATACTTCAAAGTAAAGTGTGGTTTAATTTAAAACTAGACTGTTTTATCGAAAATACACTCCCTGAACACTGGACTGTTTTGTAACAATGAAACTAATGTATATCTTTGTATAAGCAGATTATTGTTAAAAAAAAACTATGAATCAAACATACGTTTGGGCTACTTTACACTCGGAATGAAATGAACTACTCACTATTACCAAAATAATAATTTGATTCATCTACTAATATCTGCGCTCATAATTCAATGCGATATTTCAACGTTACGCTCAAATTCAATCAAAATACGTCCAATGGACTTTAACTAGTTTCTTAGTAAAAATAAGTAAACTTGCTTAAAACACCAAGTCGTATAGTAAAATGAATTTCGAATATTTGTAAACAAAAATGGTTGACTGAAAAAGAGTGGATCAAATTAGTTAGTCACGATAATTGCAAGCAAACTGTTAGTTAGAATTTCCAGAACATGTTTATATCAGTAGGAAACTTTCTTTTCATAAACATAAACTTTATTCCCTTCATTACCGAAGACCTTTATCTCTTATATATTTACGTGAAGAAAGAAAGTGACAGAATAATATGAAATAGGTTTATTCGATTTTTCACCAGCGCATTTTAAACAATTACTTACGACGTAGTTTTCTTAATTAAGCTTTTTTTAAAGTAGTTGTATTATCTTCAAGACTATTTCAGAAGCGCTGTAAGGCAAATTTCAATTTAGCCCTGAATATTTTATTATAAAGTTGACGTAGATAATTAATTTTTGTTTTTGTTTCTAAACAAAGCAAACCTTCTACTTTGAAGTATAATTTAATTTAGCTGATAAGCCTGTGGTTTTATAACATTAATTGCTGATGATAGTTTTGATAAAATCCTCTTCGGTTTACAAATGATGGATTCGATCCAGAGATGAGTTCAGTCAACCGGTCTGATTGCAAAATCAATAGTAACGGGTATAACATTTTTTTACAAATGTACCTTATCCCGATAAGCGGTTTAAATATTCAGAATTTCTTAGTTAAACAAATTGAATGGAACTTAACCCCATTTTTGCTTGAATTTTATTTAAATTGATTATTCACTCCTGGTGGTATAAAAGACAAAATCATTAAAAGCGCTTATTTAATGATAGAATTAACGTAGTTTAGCTTTGTAGCACGAGAAATTTCAAATCCCCCATTTTATTTTTGAGAAGTAAAAAGTATAAGCAAAGACAAATAGGTTATTGCCATAATGTGATTTAACTCCAATTTATTGAATAACATCAAAATATGCTCATAAATTAGAACTCTTTGTATTTAGTAGTTGCATTTATAATCGCATTTGATATAAAACTAACGATGTTAAACTCTGTTCCATACAAATTATCATCTACAGACGTCGAATTCTTAGCTTAGCGCTTTCGTACCAAATTTGTATTTTTAATTTATGTTTTGAGTACTGATGTTCGCCTTTTAGTTCTGATATGCAATTCAATTCTCTTGTAGAATCCTGTTGTCTATGTCAGAAATGTAATTTCGATCCATTTTACAGACAATAGATGCTCATTTATTTAAAATAGAATAACAAAAATGTATACGTGCATACGGAGTACTTGTACATAAAATCAACTACAAGTAAGATCCTCATATAATTACTCTAGACCATTAAAATTCTAATAGACATATGGTTTTCACTTTAAAAAATCTAGGTCTTAACAATCCATATAAAGTAGTATGTTATTGGTAAGAGTTTGAAAACGAATGCACGCAATATATTAACTGTATATATATAGTTAAAAAATGCCTTTCCGATTCAGTTCACTTAATTTCTAGTCGAAAGCACACCTACGTTTAGACTACTCATAGACAATTCCACCAAATTTCCGAATTGTAAGTAGTTGGTTATCCAAATCCTAGATCTACTGAAACCTTACATATTGTAAAACGACCTCTTAAATACGTAATCTTTATATTTTATATTTAAAAAAATAAGTCTATGGGAAGCACCTATTTATTCTTCATCCCATTGAATGGAAGATGCTGGTATTACCAAGTTTATTACCTGAGCTATTTTTTTAAAAACAGCAGTATTCTTAATTACTTAAAATGATTTGTGAAATGTGATTATGTTTATATGGTTACCCACTGGGATGAAACCTACTTTAACGTCAACCACTAATACGATTTCATTCAACTATATCTTATCAGTAACTAATTGACAGAAATCGTACTAGAAATATCTAAAGTAATATGACCGAAAGCCACTGTACGTAATCGTAGGGGTGTAAATCAATCCATTTATTTACTTAAGATGATACAAAGCTTTAATCAAAAGGTTTCCTTGTGTGTTTCGAATCAGTTAGCGTAAATATAATGCACTTGATACTCAAATGATCTATAAATCCACCAAGAGTAAGCAAAATGTAACTAGATATCTACAAATGATTGGTGCTTCAGGACTATATTTTTCACCAAAATACTTCATAAGGATCCAAGACACAACTGGGACCATAGATGGAACTTAGCAGATGCTCTCTAGATATTGAAACAAATGCTACACTCTGTAACAATGTACCAGAAAGAACTGTTAGATTTTAGTTTCAGTGAATTTATGATCATAATTCTTAGGTATGCTCTAGGACGAAACAGCTGTTTACTGAATTCTGTTTTTGATAATTCTCCGTCTGGAGTCAGTTCGGAATGAAAAACATTGTTATTATGTGAATATACCTTCTTTCATTTAAGTTGATATATGATGGTATTCTTAACAGTTTCACTTTGACTAAAAATATTTCTTAATGATTAAAGCACTAAGCTCCAGTCAATAAAGGTTTGAAATTATACGATGCTAATAAATATTATTATTCTATAGGGACTTACTGAAATGAAATGTCTCTTTTATAAACAGAATTTTTAAAAGGTAAAACGTCGTTTCACTTGGTAATGAATTCTTCTGCTTTATCCATCAAACCTCTGAAAGCAGTTGAAAACTTTGTTACTATTCAAAACTACTCAATTCAATATCACATTGAGATAATGTATGCTCTGTATGCTTTGATGATATCATAAGATTTAGCAATAAGCATTTGATTATAGTTTGATTCACCGCATTAGTTTTATTCATAATTCATTGTGACTAATTTGCTGTCATTTTGTTTACAGGTTCTATGAATGTTCTGCATAAATTTACACAAGTCTTTGGAGATATTTTTGATGATGGATCTAAGATATATCATTCTTCTATTATTTATATGCTTAACACATTTCAGTAGTCTAACGTTTAGTCATTCATCAACTGAATCATGGTACATAAGATCACGTAAGGGTGTTGCAGCTAATGTTGCTGCATCGGCTTCGTCAAAAACGCAACCAGTACCCATATCAACTCAGTTAACGACAAGCGGCCGTGTTTCAACATGTAAGTTTTCAATAATAATACTGATAAGAATAAAGAGCTTTATTTCAGGTTAATTGAAGTTCATTAATTTTTACTAGAATTTGCTGTCTACTAGTTGATGATAAATAACCAGCATAAGTATTTATAGTTATTTCCTAAAGGTTGCTTACTGCTTATTTATAAAGCTGTCACCTTAATGACTTCTCAAAGGACGCTCTTTTTTCAGCTGTTTTACCTAAACATTAACTTGAATGACTTCAAGTACATGATAAATCTGAGTACCAGTCAAATTTACAATTAATTGACCACTAGGTGCTGATCAGTGCCATGTATATCAGGTCCTTCTTAGTGCAGATCGAATCCTATCGACCAAAGTGCAATGCGGCCACTAGTCTGGGTGACTCTAAATTTTGTGCACTATGTTGAGATAAGATGGTGGCTGGAGGTAGTCAACAGGAAACCTTGAACCTAATTTTTATGCTACTTGGTAATCGTCAGCAAGGTGTACCTGTAATATTTAGGGAACTGATGCTTCCTGACCGATTCGACCCCGTGTCACCCAGCTTCACAGTCAGAGATGTTACCACTGAGGTGAGTGATACGAGATCTACTCCGTCATGGAGCATCAATTCCCTAAAGATTACAGGTACACCTTTCTGACGAGTGCCAAGTAGCACGAAACTTAGGTCCAGGGTTTCTTGTTGACTACCTCCAACCACTATCTTACCAGTCAAATTATTTAATAAATAACCAGTTGTTATAACAATAAAGAAATGCATAAAAATTTCTTAAACTCCGCTATAATTAACAATACTTCACCAATTTAACTCGAAAAATTGTTTACCTATAGCATTGATATAATTCAATGTAATTTGGACTCTTCAAAGCATACATGAAAAACATTTAAATGTGTAAATCAAATTTTTTTTACACATGTTAAAAACCTATCTACTGTCAGTCATATGAGAAGAAATAGAATATTTTTATGTTTTGGTTTAGAAATTTTATGTTTTTTTACGAATATTAATCTTGACTGACGGTCTATGTCTAAATTGCATTCAAAAACTAAACTGATAGGTTGAAATTTCAATTAGAGACAGATAATTAGGGGGTTTTAATAATGTTACAGTTTAACTTAATATCATATGATTTAGTGATCAATCTACATTGGAATATTTTTTTGGATTACTGAAATAAATCTACCAAAAATCACACTCATTACTCACGATATTTTGGGGTTACCTAGAAGCTCTCGCTGCATGAAGGATCCTGCAGTGTAACGATGACATTAAAATACAGGGGTAACCAAACAGAATATTATACGTACTCTACCCTTAACCTTTTACTGAAAACTGTAAAAAATTACTTGGTTGATCTAATTAGCAGTATAGGGTTGTGGAGATTGCTGAGTTTTGACTGAGATTATGAACTCATCAATGTTAAACCACTGTTGACAACTTGTAAGAACTGGACGGCTGTTTTGTCTTTGTACGAGACTTAGCAGTGAGCACCCACAATCACGCAAGTAGGATTCAAACCCGGGACCTTTTGTCTCGCGCTAACGCTTAGTCTCTAGACCACTGGGCTAGCATCCAACGGTGTTGATATCTAACTTCAACCAATCCACGATATTACGCGACGATTTTCCATTGTCTTGGAGTGGATAACTGCCTCACACCCGACACAAATTAGCTACACTGGCCAGGTTGAGAAAAACCTCATGGATTACTGATTTATGCACATAATTAGTAATTTAGATATTCCTGTATTTAGCGTTCAACTTCTCGGTGAGATAATCGTCCTTCGATATTGACCGAATGAATATAAATGCGGAAAATGAACAAGAGAAATAAAATAACTTTAATTCATTCTACAGTAACTTTTAGAATCCACTTCTTCGAAAGATTCAATTAGTTGTTTCCAGGGTTTTAGTTGTACTTTTCGGTTTTCCTTTTGAACTGCAAAAAGGAAACATACTTGCACGTAAATAACTTCTCAAATTGTCTAAAGTAAATCATTACACAACAGGTTATGAAAATCTTGATTGGAGCACTGAACCTAAAAAAACTAATAATATCTCGAAACGAGTTAACTAATCAGTACTAATACGGGTTTTGTCGTCACTTTTTTAAAACCTATTATAGTTTTGTAAATTTTCAAGTTCATTCAAGACATTTGTTTGTTTATAACTGATCACAACTATTTGTATCCAAAGACTTATGTACTTAGCAAACATTAAGCATTTCATCAGCTATTGATTGATGATAGAAATATAAAACTATCTTCTAGATTTTTTGTGAGTTATCATTCGGGGTAGCTAACAAGTTTACTCCAGAATTTTAATTTACTTCAGTAATTGATATAGGGGAAATCAAACACATAACACAAATGTATGTTTGTATACTTTGTGAAAAATGTGATCTTCTGTTGAGTGTTGTCTTTCAGGTAGACGCATAATATTCCTATGAGAGATCGATGTATAATTGCTGGTTACTTATCGTACGGGGACCTGTGCCCAAAGAGTTACGAGTTTCTCTGTTTACCCATATTGTTAAGCGTAAACAACAACCTAACTGAATAGTTTATCCTGCTGCTGAATCACTTTAACTCATTATACGTTTTTCAGTTTAATGTAGGTCACTCCAAAAGTTACGTAAACAGTACGTGTTTTACTGAAAAATAATTCGGTAAGATAGAGTACCATGTATTGTCTTCTGATTTTCTTGCGTCACAAAGAGCACTAACGCGCTGGTACAAACGACTGAGGTTCATTGAAATTCATTTTATTTGGTGAACTTTGTTTCCATATTATCATATCGATCCACATGATCATCTCAAACTATTCATCAGATTTGTAATGTATTAATTTCATTTCGAAGAGACATCATAATTGTGAGACATTTTTGTGATTTCTTAAACTTCCAGCGAATTTCACAAATATTAAATAAAACTGGCTACAAGCGCAATTTAATGTATTAATTCTCACTAGCCACAACAGATAATATTTTATCTATCTAGTGTTCATATTCTAATCGAAATATCATCCATAGATAGATTATTTACTTACGTCTTTAATCCCTCGTGGAGGAGCATAGGCTGCTCGCCAGCATTCTCCACGAAACTCTGTCCTCGACAATCCTTTCTAGTTACTATTCATCCTTTTCATGTCTGTTTCTATTTCCCGACCCAATGTGTTTTTTGGCCTTCCTCTTTTTCGTTTCTCTTCAGGATTCCAAAGTAGCGCTTACTTCGTGATGAAGTTTGATGATTTTCTCAATTTGTGTCCTATCCACTTTCAACTGGTTTCCTAATTTCCTGTTCGTTTGGAAATTGGTTTGTTTTCTCTCACAGTAGGCTGTTGCTGGTGATATCCGGCGTCCATAGACAGATACTCTTTGGTAAATCATAAAGTGGAGATTTGTTGCTCCACCAGAATCATAATTTTGATCTAATCAAAAATCGATATTATTTAATTAATGTAGTGATCACTCCATTTTTAATTTCTTTAGTTTCATATGATGAACCCCAATATACAATAAGTGATTCGAATCTTCGGAGTGGTTCATTTACAGCAGAAGAAAAACTGGTAGCTCAACTACTGAATCGAGGGAGTTTAACTGTCCGACCAAACGGTTATATGAATCAGTCTACAAATCCTGTACACGTTAATATAACCTATAATGTTGTACAGATTCTTGGATTTGTAGGTCTATTTTTTTGTATTTTGTGGTCAATAATGCTGTAGAAAATTTTGTTCGCAAATTTTCGGATAGATACATTAAAAGAAAAGCCTTAAGAGTTTTCACTATACCATGAAGATTTGAGCTTTGGACGAGTGGTCTACATAGTCATCATGTGGTTCAATAATAACATTATGAAACAGAAATGTAGGTATTCGTTTTCGTTCTGAATTGAACGAACGAAAAAAGATGGTTATATGTCTTCTCTGCTAAATGTAGTTATCGTTATCGTTTTCAATAATTCAAGACTAACTGATTATTTCAGACTGCAAATTCTATACAATTAACCGAGAGCATCTAAAATGTAAAGATTTACTACAGTTGTTGGCACTCGATACTCGTGGTAATATTCAAAACAACTACAGAGACTTCACTATAATAAGGCGTTCATAAGCAACAACGTTTAACTGGTACGAAAGCAATTCATTCAGTGTTTCCCATAAGTACGACAAGAAATCGTTCTATTTGAAAATCATCTAACTATTCGCACGGTGTTTAGAGAATTACTACTCCGTATTGTCTATTATCGGTCGTCTCAATGTTTCAGGATGACAAAGTTGAATAGAATGAATACACCAGAAGAGATCAAAACTTTAAAAACGTCGTACAGAAAAATATAGGAATTATCTTTTTTATACACTTCATGTAAGCTAAATTGGAAACAAATTTTTATAAACAGTCACCATCAAGATTGTTTAAGTGCATCATTTCTTGTAGTTTGATAGATGAATCTTCAAACTAATATAGAAAAATTGACTAATATACATTTAAATACACAATTTATGATAACAACTCATTATCATTCTTTTTGAAAGTCAGGTATACTCATGTTTTTGAACTCTATTTTGTGATAATAATGTAGCCTGACATTTAAAAACTTTATGAATATAGTTTTTGGTGTTTAATACACTATATTAGTCCAGTTGCAGACTATCGTAGGAATGTAATTTGTTTGAGATGATTTATGACAATAAACTCTAAAAATACAGTGGCTCTTGAGGTATGTAATCATTTCTTTGACTTCTTGATATAAGTAAATTAACTGACATGAAGTTGAAGAAATGTCAAGTATATTAACCTTTATATTTTGTGTTCTCCAAAGCACACTTTCCATTACATCAGGGTAATGCATCTCTTATAACCTGAATTTATATTCTTTTAGGGTTCTGTCGTACTGTTGAATTTTGTATGATTTCAAATTAAATACGACGAACAATTATATTAGACTTTGTCTCGAATTACATTATATTTATCACTAAATGAACTTCAAAGTCACTTCTCATATGTCTAAATAGTTTTACAGAAGAAGTGACACATTTTATGTTGCTAGTGACCGGAATTGCTTTAAATATTTTACATGATCTGTTTAGTAATTAACCACAGAAATGAAAACATTTTGTGTTTCATTTATTAATTCTTACTATTTTAGTCACAATCAGAAGAAACCTTAAGTATCTCTGGATGGTTTACTATGGTAAGTCTTTCAAAACGTTTTCCAATGTGCAGTTACAAGGATTGATTTTATTTTAAAGAGGGACTATTATCCTCTATTTAGTTCCGATATTGTTCATATAACGAACATTTTCAAGTATGACACATCAAGAAATAGTTTACTAAACTGTTTTTGAATAAATTAACAAGTGGAAACTATATCCCTTTTCGATTAGTTTCTGTTGACTGATTCAGACAACACATGCAATTTATTGATAAAATATCCTCTGAATTTTAAAAAATTCGGTAAACTTTTGTGCTTTTTGACCGCCTATAGTATTTGCAACTTTGAGACTACAAAGCAAATTTATACGATGCTGAAAATTGTTTTCATCTAAAACCCACTGAAAAAGCGAATAATTACTTAATTAGAAATACATGGGGGAACCAGGGGCACCATACATGACGATAAATCATTCATTTCTATCACATTAACCATTACATCAACGAATTTCTCCACTCATTATTTCAATGAATATTATGTTTCTCAAAAAGGTTGCTACGCTCGCTAGTTCATGTTTTAATCCATCAGAAAAATTCAAATTTTAAATAAATGTAAAAGAAACAGCATCGGTAAGCATATGAAAAAGGTCGAAAAAATTAATGACCGATCGTACATGGAACTAGGACTTTACAAGCAGTTAATTATTAGACTGATTGATGTAACCAGTGAACAGTTGACAATGATTAGTTTTCCTTCACAATCATTAACCACCTAATTAATAAACTGAAATAAGAACGAATGATTTACTTTTGAATCAAACAAAGTTTGTAAATGGCTTTGAAATGAATATGAGACTCAGAAATCAGTCTAATCTTAAATACAAGTAGGATTTCGATTCGACTTTAATTGTAAATCAAAGTAAAGAAACTTAAGTCAACATTGAATGATCCTATTAAATTGTCGTCGTTCGCTCTTTTGACGTATGTAATTTGTTGATGGGAGGTTGAGTTGTTTATTTAAAATAGACTAAAAGTCATTTACCCTGTTTTGATATTTCAACTATATGATATAACTCAGTTATCACTAGATAAGATGAAATAAATGTTTGGGAGCATTAGTTATTTTATTTATCAAAATAAATTCCTGAATTATATCCAAACAAAAATTACCATAATTGTCCAACTGACCTCAGGAGGACAATACATAACGAAATCTAGCTGTCATGATTAACAAGGACTTGATTTTTAAATCTCAGTAGGTGAAATCACACCGGTACAGAATGATAAACTAGTGTAGTATATCTTATGTGTTTAAATTATTTGGAATTGAGAAAAAATCTGATTTTCTCACAGTCAGCTCCGTTCAAACTAAGTATACCCTAAATTTGTGAAGATTGATATGATCTAATAAATGTAAAATATTTCACTGTATCACAATTCAAATACTTGATCAGATCAAGTGTAAAAACATCAACTGACTGATTACATCACAACGAATGTTGCCATTTTTCAAAAGCATTCCTAGTCCGGATAAGGTAAATCATTTAAAACTTAGATTTCGTCATCCCAGATATGTTTGTACTGTGATCGATTAACAAAAAACATCAATTTGAGGCTTGGATTGTCTATAAATGAGGATCCAGACTATATTACATTATTTAATCAAGTACAAGGGTCATATTCTTTACTAATGAATTAAGATTTGTCTATATTTAATTCAAATCAATAGTTATCAACGTTTAATTTGAAGTTGATAGCCAACCTTCATTCAAGGCATTATTATGTATGAATTATATATTTCATACTGGTATCGTTTAGCTGTTCACAACACTGAAACAGTCCCGACCGTATAAATAAACTTTTAGCTTATGAGTTAATAAAATCATCATAGCTAAACTGAATTGTTAGTAAAATTCAATCATAATGAACAACTGATAACGAGTAAAGGTTCAATTAATTGAATTGCTTACAAACGTTTACAGAGAATATATGGTAGCAATAGTAGCAGAAAATCATTTCTTCCACATCGCCTTTAACCAATACTGACATATGCTTATAAACGTATGTAAAGCAGAGATTAAAGTAATTTTTTTACTAACTTATATCCTTACAAATTATTCAAGTCATTACTTACGCTGAGATATTGTAAGCTCAGCTGTGTTTTCCATAGAGTACACAAAAAAACAGACGTACTATTTATTAGTTTTGACTTTTACAATTTCATTTTTCTCTACCTCTCTGCCTCTTCATCTTTAATAGGTAAATTTCTTTCTTCTTTATTTTCATTTTGATGTCACAAAAATTCATATCTTAATCAATCAACATTGTATAAAACATTTGACTAGAGGGAAGCGGAGAGACGAAGTTAAGACGACAAATGCCAAAAAGGAAATTAAAGATACAATGCATTACAACCAAAATTTAAAAGAGGTGTAAATAAATGTAGATAACTATGGAGTTAAAATCGATTACCATAATATTGTTCATAAAGGTCAATTAATCTCCAACATTGATAATTAGGGAGTAGGTTTATATAAAGAAGAAAAACCAATATATTGTTTAGATTGGTAGGGGTTTCAACAACGAAAAAACAGACAGTTGAAGGTCTAATTTTCTATTTTATTCAAAGATTCATATGCGTATATACATTTATGAGTCTTGTTACCAATATGACACCAACCAAAACTGACTCGATATCAGGGAAACGAGGCATTATTCATCAAAAATTCAGGTTTGGTAAGCCTTTCTTGTTAAACAGGATGGATATTTTAGAACAAAACCTCTTAAGACATTTATTCTTTCATTAATAAATAAAATTTAAGCATGCAAATGAGTACATCTATTTCAGTATGTCAATCATCTTGATCTGATAAGTCATATAGTGATGGAAAAAAAAGAAATTGAATTAACTGAGTATAACTTTTATTCTTAAGTAAAGTAACCCAATTGGTCTTCCCTTGTGTCGCCATAACGAGCACACTAAAGTGTAATATCTAAAACTACAGAAAAATTATCAGGTGAGTTAAGACGGTTCCAGCTTTGCGATCAGTCAGTTTCAAGTTTTTTTCAGTGATCCTTAATGTAATTTCTGAAAAATTAAAACATTATTTCCAATGTATCCATGCTTTAATATAACTTATTATTCTGTTTAAATTATAAATTTTCTGTGGTGTTAAACTCTTCGTGGGTTATGAAGAGATGGACTGATCCTAGATTAACTTGGGATCCAGAGGAGTTCTCTGAAATTCAAGAAGTCAGTCTACCAACAACAAATTTATGGATACCAGATGTGGGCGTGATGAATGGTAAAGCATCCACTGATTTCGATTTTAGTGCAGGTGTAAGAGGACGCGTTACCGTAAGCAATGACGGATCAGTTACTTGGCTTCATGGCGCGGTTCTAGATGTGACATGTCCCCTTGATGTATCATTTTTTCCGTTTGATTATCAAACATGTTTTCTGATTCTTGTTCCATGGCAAAGTGGTGAACAACAATTACTTTTGCAACCATTTACACATGGTTCAGCAGTGGATAATAGTTACTTACCTAATTCTAATGTCAGTGAATGGGAAATTCAATCTGTTCATTTTGTACGGAAAAAATATCGTAGTGATATGAATGTCACTTATCAATATGTGAGTATTGCTATCCATCTTAAAAGGCAGCCGCTGTATTTTATTGTACTTGTTCTTGTTCCATTTTCAATGTTATCTGCTCTTGCATGCTTGATCTTCACATTAGATGATACAGGAGATCGGCTATCAGTTGCACTTTCCTTAGTTCTCAGTATGACTATGTATGTGGTGATTGTGTCAACAAATGCTCCCCGCTCAATGAGGACATTACCTGTTTTAGGTAAGTCTGAATTCCTGACAATATTCACTTTCTATTTCTGAATTAAAGATAGTACTATGCAAATGAAATTCCGGCTGCATGTATCTAGTATGAACTAGTACTAAATTACATTAAACTTAGTACAGAGGATGATGCATAGAGCAACGATAACTGATAACCGGTTATCAGCCTATCATTCTGGTTAGCTTTACCTTTAGGTCTACAAGTCCACTTTTATAATAAGAAAATTATGGAAAGATGTTTTATAGTCGAAAAGGAAAATACTTTCCCGGTTTAGTAAGCGGCATCCATTTCCTATTTATGTGACAAAGAAGAGCACAAAAAGACAAATCAAATAAAATCAAGACATGTTTAGCAGTTTTGTTTTATGAATAAAACACCGAGGTTCTATGTGACAGACAAATTTTCTTGGGTTGTATCTACTGCAAGAATTAAGCCTTTGTTTTAACCTCATTTTCAATACCCAACATGATTACCAGGGATTTAGAATAATCTCCTTCAGTGAACTCTGAAATTGAGCATGTTCAATTTATCACAACTTCGACTGCCATTATAAATAAGTTATTTATTGAATATATTCATAAGTTCTAGATTAAAAGGTAATTGTTCTTTGCAGCGTAAAAGCCCCTCAGTTATAATCGGTTACGAATTTATTTGATTGTAAATTTGTCAGTGAATTAGAGTGTCGACAATTCATTTGAATATTCACGAAATCATCCCATTTTAATTGACGATTTCCGTTTTCAAATGCGCTGACTCATAACGAATTCCGATTACACACAATCACCCATATATTTCTCTCTTTACCACAAGAAAACTTTCTGGATCTCCGAATCATTTTCGTTTCAGCTGTACAAAATATTGATCAAAGATCCCTGTAATCGGTATGCAATTATGGTTATTTAGATTCACAATAAATAAAGCTTTCGAATACAAAATTTCTTGTGCAAAGACGTCGTCTTTCTTTATGACTAATGATACTGAACTAGTTAACGCGTTCATATTGAGGTGTACTGAAAATTGTACCGACTAGTCTGTTAAACAACTCAGTCGAATTTATATAATGATGTTTGAAAACTAATTATTGGTCGAAGATTTTAAACCTGTCCCATTCTGAACAAATATCAACCAAATCATTATATTTTTTTCGCTTATAGGTATATTTCTGCTGGATCAGCTTGGCCTCTTAAGTATTGCGACGATACTTGCTGTAATGAACAACAAACTATACCAATCAACAGAACTACTAAACTGGCAAGATTTCATTTATGCAATCTCAGGTACGGGACAAGGTAAACGACGTAATAGTGAGCCATACTCTGAACACCTTTACGTTAATAGACACATACATGACAACCATAATTATAATAACAGAAATAAAATATCAAGGAGTAACACAAACAGACAAGAACCCAAATATAAATCGTCACTACAACAGACAGACCAGTTAATTGAGAAGAGTACTTCCAGACAACAGTACTATTTTAAAAAGTACTGCAAACCTGTAAAACTTTTATCACGTAAAAGTAATAAGACCGTTAATACTAATAGTAACAGTAATTGTGGTAAAAGTAATAATCAATCAAATCGTTATTTTCCAATCCATCCTGACAGCGGACACTTCATAAACCATTGTGATCCGGAAGTTATCCTAAATGCTACAAATTTAACATCAGATGTCAAATATCGTCCTATTGACCCAGACTCTGACAGTCCGATTGGACAAGTGAGTAAAATATCAAAACCTAAATTTTTAGATTCAGCTAATTCCAATATTATTCATAATATTAATACTTTTAAGAATAGTAATACTGAAATTAAAAACAGCACTATTAGTGATAAACAAGATATAATGAAATGTCATGATTACAAAATGATACATCCGAGAATACATAATAGCGATTTTTTAAATAAATCTCATTTTATAAAAAACAAACCTAAAGGCAGTGTTTCAGAAAGATCTCCTTGGAGAGAACACTTACCGATGTCATATGACCAAATAATAAAGCAAAAGTATCCAATGAAGACATCATACAAATACGCCGCGCCATCAGTAACTGAAAGTTCACCAAGTGATGACGAAGAAGACGATTGTGTAAACAGTGATACAGATGAAGTGGACAGCGATACTTCAGAAAGAATATTCCGAACAACTGTAACAGCAACTGCAGCAGCTGCCTTAGCAGCTACTCGTGTTATTGCTTCTGATTATGGTGTAACAGATTTAAATCCATCTCAACTAAAAATATATGGAGCGAAAGCAAATGCTAACACAAACAAAAACGCTTCTGGTTTTTATGAGACAGCTAGATCAAGAAAATGTATTCGAAGTGACTTACCAATCAAAACAGTGGAAGAACTTGATCATATGGATTCTAAGTTAGCCGCTCAAGCAGCAATAAATGCAGCGTTTGAAGCAGCTGCACAAACTTATCAACTGAGTAAAGAATATACTAGACACCACAATCACCGTCATTCATATTATTTTCCACCATCTAAGTGTGGAAAAAGCCATAAACGAAGTTTATTAAGCAATAGCAGTTATAATCACTGCACTGATTACCCCGCAGAACTAAATCCATATCCGTATCGCAAATTAGCTTCACGTTTAGACTGTATACAAATGATAACTTATCTTTTCTTATCAACGATAAATGCTATTGCTTGTCTCATACTTATGCCAAAATATTCACAAGATTCTAATCCACCAGCCCATTTGATCTCTTAAAAACGTAATTATTAGTCGTAAAACACTGTTTTATTGTACTTCATAAGTTAGAAAATAATTTTAGCAGGGAATTTCACTGACCACTTCGATTCATATGACCTGTCTGTCTTATATATAGGGTATAAAATTTAATTTAAGTTTATCAGTTGGATTTGTAATCGATAAATAATCCTTAATATATTAGTCCTCATAAAATAATGCTAATCATAAATAATCAAACTCAGTGGCTGAAATGTAACCTGATCATCCAGCTTAAAGGTCTTGGATTTACTCTTGAAGAGTATCAAAACTTCATGTCATTATAAAGTCGAAACTAGTCATCCAAAAACTAAGCGATTTCAATCGAATTCCATGTGATTTTTCAACTGATGGTGATTGGCCTAAACTTAAACCAAACTAATTAAACGAATAACTAAACTAATTATTAGTTAACTATTGTTCGTCGTTTTCTTTTCTTCATTGTTTATTGTTGTATTTGTCATTTAAAAATATGTCGCTTTCTTACTCTACACATGTTCTAACCTCTTTTTTTCTGTACAACTAAATATTTAAAATTAATTATATAATGACACTTTCTAGAGCTAGAAAAAAGGACTGACTAGAGTTATCTCTCAGTATAATATAGATAAATAAATATATATTGTCACTCAAGTTTAATTTTTGTAATGACAACATAATGATTAGACAAAAGGAACGTTCCTTATTCTAATGTAAATATGACGTTCTACACTAAGTAAGCTACGGAATTAATTCGTTCATATTTGCCAAGACATGAACCAAGTAAACAGAACATTGTTTCGTCTTATTATTTACTCAGGTAAACACAATCACTTATCTATTATACTTATTACAATAATCTACTGAGTCAATAAAATATAGTTAAACATAATACTGACAAACTATAATGTTTTGAAAAGTTGGTTCGCTAATATAGCATACTTCGTATTATCCAAAACTAAACAAAATATTTATTTTTCGAGTGACTAACAACAGAATTAAAGACTTAAGTTTTGCTACAATTGAAGCATTACTAATAGAGTATCTGAGTACAATCATTGAAACTAGAAACCGATATAAACCATCTGACATTTATCTACTAGATGATCAGCGTAAACCAGCCATTACTTTTTATTCTTGCAAATAGTATTACGAAAGTGTGCGAGTGTGTGACATTTACACGACAAAAAGAATTATTTCTTTGTTGGGAGACAGTGCTTTTTAAATAGGTTTTATGATAATGCTTGAAATGTAACAATTTTGAAAAAACATACGATATCTTTATATAATCTAGCCTTAGAGTCGTAAGTTCAACGATAACACATTAGGGTACAGACGAGTACCAAATGGGATGACACGCTTAACATGAATTCTATTCCTGTGTAAGTAATTAAGACAAGTTAAACCAGATACGACAATGAACTTCATAGTTATTGTAAAATATTTTGAATGCAACCATCACAGATGAGCTCACTCATTATTTTGGGACCAAAAAATCAGTTTATAAGTTGTATTTTCGTAGATGAAAATTTGGTTTAGTTGAATGAATGAACCTTCAAAACAATCAGTACACCAAACTCTTCGAGGTGAACATATATTAACAAGTATAGAATGACTGGGTTGTATAGCTTCGCTTGTGTCGGTGAATTTTCTTGTTTCACATTTCATCATCGAAATTTAAATACCAGTTTCAACAACTCGCAGTATATTACAAACACAGACTCGTGGTAAATGAAAACTGTTAAAGCGAAAAATAATATTTAGTAAGAAAAATATTGGCAGTTATAATGATAATTATTATTATTATCATTTTCAACTTACACATGGGTACTTAACTTAATTAAACCTTCAGCTATATTCAGATTCATAGGGTACTTGCTCAATCGAATATTAACAAACTTACAAAATCACTCACTTCACCACCACATAGGCTTATTACCTTCTATAACAATTTACAGACTAGTAAAATGAATTTACTGTAAACAGCTAATCAGTAACAACATACATGATGATCTGAAACGCATAGAAAAATGGAGACGAAAACAAACTCCAAGCTTCATTTTTAGTCATGTGAGTGCATAAAAAATCTAATTTTATCAACTTATTAATAATTCAAAGTAATGCTTCCTCTGTAAAATGAAGAAAAGAAATCTATAATCAGATGGTGTAAATGTTTGTCTCGTATTTGTAAGTGAGAAATCAATTATCCTTTTGAGGCATTGTTCAAATTAAGGCCAGATTCTGGGAATACGCTGTTCTACACAAAAGATTTTCATGTTCAAGAGATTTGTCGTCAGTAAAAAGCTTTCCATGTAATAGCATTTACCTTTAACCTTTACATTTAGAGTTCTAGTTAGAATAGACGCTTGAGATAAATTAATCATTAGTAGAAGATAAAACAGGTAAAAGTACATGATGGGAACTTTCCATAAAGTGAACTGAAGAGAAATTGCCATTCGACAAGATAACAATTTAGGTATTCGAACGACATGTTCAATCTAGTGAAATGAAACGATTGAAGATAAAAATAAGTACTGAACACCTCATATAATCGAGAAGTGTACCGTTTCTCTTCTACCTTCACACAAACAGTGAAATGAAAAGATAAAATCAATTTAAGTTGACCATCATGTATAGTTGCACTACTAGAGCTATTAAAAACTCTGCTGGTAATTATTTCGCCGACTTTCTATAAGTTTTTGTCAACGGCGTGGAACTCTGGTGTGAAATAAACTTTTGAATTGATACAGAACGATAACTGGAAAATCCTACCGAACAAAATTTACAAAAAAACCGATAAAAATTTACATATAGTAACTCAAACCCATATTGAGTGATTTGACGATTCATCTCTGTGTTGAAATAAGACTTACTTCAAGCAGGTATTTTGAAACCAACTATAACAAATTTATCATTTCATATCTATAAATATAGGCTTTTCGGAGTACAGGTAACATGATATTAGACGCTTAACTAACATTCATGTCAGTGAAATTCTGTTGGCCATTGTTTTCTATACAGCCAGTAGTTTGGAAAAATTATTTTCTAACAATCTATATTAAAAATCATACACTATAATTATTTTCACCGCTTCTTTGTCATATATCCTGAACATTGATCCATTGAGTACCTTCCAACGGTAACAGTTTGATTAACCGTTTGCTCTCTTCTCTATACTAACGTTTAGGAAGACAACACCGTTAGTTTACTTCAAAGCAGACCTTTCATATAAGTAATCGATTCCCAAAGTAGAATCTTAATGATCTAAACCAGTTTCCGTATTTATTCTGTGAGGAAAAGCATTATTCATAAAACTAACAAAATTACATGTGAAGATAAAACATTTTAATAAAACAATCATAAAGTCTTATTTTAAGCTTCAACAATAAAAATCGAAACATTTGGTGTATAGTTTGTTGGAAGTTTTTCAGTGATGATTATGTCATAAATACAAGCAATCACACGGTGTCGACTGTTTACAATATCACATAAGGAGTGAAATCAATCTCATCTCTAAGATATATTTTATCAATGGTGATAAAGATGACCTGCACGTTTCCACACATTACATTAATCGGTTTTTAGGTTTAAATGTATTGCAATAGGTTACTATGTGCCTTATTTTATACATGAACTTAAAATAACTACATGTATTTATGATACAGTCGCCAGAGATTTCTCACACGACACAAGAAAATATGACAAAGCTGGCAAACAGACAACTCAGTTCGACTATCAACCGATATAATCTATAAGATATATAGACAATACATTTGTGACAAGAATATTGAAATCTTAGGTTCGTTACATTCCTTCGATACATGCCATACTTTCATACATTTGACTTTAGAAAATAAATTAGGCCATTCAATCACTTTTCTTAATAAACGTCTGACAAGGAGAAGGGATGGTTGCTTAGAAAGGTCCATCTATAGAAGACAAACGTGGAACGAATAGCTGAACAAGTCCTACTGCTGGGTTTCATTGAGCAGAGAAAGTAATCTTGTTCACCCTTTGTGTTACGCAATTCAACGGATATGTGATACGCAATGCATTGACGAAAAACTTTCGTTCCTCAGAAAAACTCTGACTGAAAATAGCTATCCAAGTCACTTCACGAAGAACATGAAAAAAAGTCGAAACAAGGAGTCCGGTAGTTCTGATTCAAATAAATATATCTATATGGATCTGGAATTTGAAGGCGACCGAACATCTGATGTGATTAAAAATCCGTTAACGGCAGCGATAAAAAGAACGTTCTATGCAGCAAAGCTAAGAATACCGTTCACCAGTAGGAACTTGTTTTTCGCATCCGCAAAGAAAAAGCTCCCTCGTCTAGTCGCCTCTACGTGCATATCCAACTCCTTGAAAAGCAGGAGCTTCTGCCATCCATGAGATGAAGCCCGAACTGTGTGTGCAAAAGAAGTACGTCCTATCCTTATCTTTACAATGGTCATTATCATCATATTTCGTATTTGAAAACATCCATCCTCCCTTTAGTTGTTTCTCATGTCTCTATGATTTTACTTATAACTGTCTCTGACATCACTTCATTTCAGTTAACCCCTCTATTACCTTTAATTATTGTAATAAAAATGTTTTAATTGTCACATTATAAACAGTTGCTAATTTGTGAGTTTAACAAGGCTTTTTGTTTGCATACACAGTCTTTCATTGTTACTATTTACATTACGTAATCTAGTACCATAAACTCTTTATCGCGTCATTATGTTTATTCTCTGTTCATATGTCCGTAGGAAACCAATGCTTTAACAAATCATATATATATATATATATATATATATATATATATATATATATTACAATCGGGTCTTTTAAAATATATGATATAGAACAGTTACCGACTGCTTGTTCCAGTGAAATCGGGCGAATCACACCTTTCTACATCTTCACGTTAATAGTAAGGGAAATAAATAACCATACGGCAGCTTAAGCACAAATTCGCAATCACACTAACTGTTAGTTGAATTTTGTATTACAAAACATTATATTAACAACTTATACTAATTCAACAACAATAATCTGTCAGACACTACTTTGACTGTATATTACTCTCATAGCGATGTAAGCACCACTTGAACGATGCCAGTGAGTAGCAGAAAGACACTGTGCAATGTTGTTGGTAATAACAGTCTATCTGAAAATGTATGCTATTTATCCAAATATTACGTTTTATTTATTATACTACTGCTAAGTTTTCTGTCGGTACAACAAAAATAAGAACTAGGTCCTATGGTATCTGTACCACCTACACATGAAATACTATCTTAATGTCAAATAATAATTCTTTCGTGCTCATAATGAGTAGTCACTCCTTCAGTGCTTATTACGTCAACCAATACGTTCAAAATAAGAAATTCTAATGACGAATCATCAGGCAGGTTAATCGGTCAAAAAAATTTCTGGAAAATATCCCTACTGATTTTGAATAGGTGTTTCATGGAAAAACGTGTTCAAGTCCGTTGTATTAGACGTTATGTTAATTACAATTGGTTCCAACAACTGTCTGAATCCTTGAAGGGTGATATTCGAAAAGATTTGGTGAATAAACGATCATACAGAATTTAATAAAATTCAGAAATACGCATTCAAACCAATTGATAAATTTAAACAAAACATTGGTGTAATAATTAGCAAAGCTGACAAATGTTAAAATACCCGGATGTTGAATGACAACAGCAATCAGTGAATGTTCATAAAAATGACAGCAATATCTAAAAAGAATTTTTTAAGAGGATATGCAATTCCTCATCTAAATAACAGCAGGC